TCGCCTCGGAGTTTGCAGCGAAAGGCGGGGATTGATTCTGAGGCCGCAGAGATGCTGGGGATCGAAAAACTGCCCATCGAGGAGACCCTGGAAGATAGCCCGCAGGTACAAATCAATGCAGCCGAGCCTCCAGTTTCAGGCGGATCGCTGACACTCGATCAGATGTTAGCCTGGGACCAGGTCGGGCAAAGGCCCACTCACCTTCAATATAACTCTTCATGTTAATTGGAATGTACAGTGCTAAAGAGGCGTGAGAAACGGTAGTTGAACTGAGTAAAAAGGCATCTGCTGTATGCCAGGAACACCTGGGGTGAAACTTACGGGGATATCAGAGACAAACGTTACTAAGACTGGTTTTGTACTGCCTGTATTTTACTCAAATCTAAAGTGGCGTTTTTCTAGACAACCTCTGGATAATTGTTCGACCTTTTGCCCGTTTGCGTTTTAAGGGTATATCAGTGAGCTCAGGTTGCTGTGATAGCAGTGGCTCATTGATCGTAAAGATCTCAGTCAAAAGGTTCACATCCCACTGGCGGAATCTGGGCGGCCACTTACAGCTGACAATTAAAACAAAGTTCGTTTTGCTCTCAGGTGGACCTAGAGGTCGCATGTCGCTAGAGATGAGGAGTTCTCCTCTATATCGTAGGCAATGTTTTGCCCTCAACAACCATCATTAAAAACAGATTCTGATTGTAAATCTCAATGTTGTTTGTGGGATCATGCTGTGTGCAAGCTGTCAGTGACATTTCCTTTATTACGGCAGACTTGAGTGGTTCCGAAAGACATAATGCTGCCACATAAGTAGATGTTTGTTTTTCTGTAGTAAGTAATATAAGAACCTCTTTCAGTTCTGAGAATGGTCACCAGGCCCAAAACATTAACTCTGTTTTATCCTTCATAGATGCTGCCAGACCTGCTGAGCTTTTTCAGCAACTTTGTTTTTGTTCCTGATTTACAGCATCCACGGTTCTTTCGATTTTTATTCAGAACTAGTGTACCTTTAGAGTAGTTTTTGTCAGTGTAGACTCGATGGGCCATAGAGGTTCTGTACTGTATGATTCTATGCTATGCTGAATGACCCTCTTCTGTGCTGTAATTCTAAACTACCCAACTTGCAAACAACAGGGAACAGGTCATACCTTAACAGTAAACTAAGATTTTTTTTTTGTTTTAAATATAGCAGCACCAAAAAGTTATACTTTTAAGATTATTCAAAATAACACACAGCAAATACAACATTCTATGGTTAACATATGGGAATTGCCTGGGTGCAAACTGAAGCCATTCTTAGATCAAAAATATGAGGTTCTTATATTACTTACTACAGAAAGACATACATCTATTTATGTGGCAGCATTAAGTGCTTTGGTGCTTTTCAGTTCTGAGGAAGGATCACCAGACCAAAAACACTAACTATTTTTTTCCTTCACAGATGCTGCCAGACCTGCTGAGCTTTTCCAGCAATGTTGTTTTTGTTTCATACACTGGTCCCTCTTGCTATATTTGGCCCATAGCCTTGAATGTTATAACATTAAGTGGTCATCCAAGTACTTCTTAAAGATTCTGAGCTTTCCTGCATCAATTACTCTTCCAGGCAATGCATCCCAGACCCCACCACTCTCTGGGTGAAAAAAATCCTCATACCCATTCTAAATTTTCTGCCTATCAACTTGTTATTGACCGTTTAACTAAGAGGAACTGATGCCTTCCATCCATCCTGTTCATGCCCCTCAAAATCTTACACAGCTCAATAAGCACCTCTTCTCAGCTTTCTCTGCTCTAAAGAAAACAACTTGAACTTATCCAGCCTCTCTTCATAACTAAAATACTCCATCTCAGTTAACATCCAGGTGAATGTTCTCTGCACCCCTGACGGTGCAATCATGTCCTTCTTTCAGTGTGGTGATCAGAACTGCGCACAGTACTACTTTGGCCTAACCAAAGTTTTATACAACTCCAACAAAATCTCCCTACTTTTATTAATAATGCCACAACTGATAAAGGCAACTGTCCTGTATGCCTTCACAACTACCATATTAACCAATCCTGCCACCTTTAGGGATCTGTGGACAAGTACCCCACACCCTCCTGTTCCTATTGAGCTTCGTATGTCCATGTCCATGTCTATGTCACTTCTTTGGGAAAAACTGCCTGATTTTGTCTCTTACTCCAGCCTTCTCCTTATAATCTTGCACATGAATTTCTTTCAAATGCATGTCCATTGTGTTGGAATATGATTTGACCACCCTTTTAAGTAATGCATTCCAGATTGCACAGATATAGAGCACAGAAACAGGTTAATCAGCTAAACTGGCTGGTTAATAGTCCATCTGAATCTCCCGTTTTATCTAAATCTTTCCTGATAACTCTGTATTTATTTCCCCCTAGTATACTTGTCTGGCTTCCCTGCAAATATTTTCTCTTAATATCTTCTCTGTCTTTTGCTACAATTTCAAAACCTATGCCCTAATAATTGACCCATTATCTCCTTATTTCTTCTATCAAAACCCCAATTTTAACTATGTCAATTGGGTGTCACATCAGCATTCTCTGTTCTGAAGAGATTATTCCCAACTACTCCAATTTCTCAATGTATCTGAAATCCTTATGCATTATATCACTTGCTAAACCACCTCTGTACCCTGTACAAGGTCTTGATGTCCTTACAAAAGTGTGGTGCCCAGAACTTCATAATACTTCAGCTGAAGCCTAACTAGTGATTTGTATAAATGTATTTTTTATTAAATAACACTGTTTGTAAAACCAAGTATCCATTAAGCTTTCTTAATTTTCTTCTTAACTGGTCCTGCCACCCTGGGAGACTTGTGGATATACATCCCAGGTTGCTTTACTGTTGAACCCCCACTCTTCAAAACACTGTCTGTTCCCCCCCATCACCTAACAGTTCTTTAAATTAAGTCATACCGGTATGTATGTGCTCACAGAGAGATCTGGGTGTTCAGGTCCATTGTACCCTGAAGGTGGCAACACAGGTCGATAGAGTGGTCAAGAAGGCATACGGCATGCTTTTCATTCATCGGAGGGGGTATTGAGTACAAGAGTTGGTAGGTCATGTTACAATTGTATAGGACTTTGGTTTGACCACATTTGGAATACTGCATACAGTTCTGGCCGCCACATTACCAAAAGGATGTGGATGCTTTGGAGAGGGTGCAGAGGAGGTTCACCAGGATGTTGCCTGGTATGGAGGGCGCTAGCTATGAAGAGAGATTGAGTAGATTAGGATTATTTACATTAGAAAGACGGAGGTTGAGGGGTGAACCTGATTGAGGTCTACAAAATCATGAGAGGTATAGACAGGGTGGATAGCAAGAAGCTTTTTCCCAGAGCGGGGGACTCAATTACTAGGGGTCACGATTTCAAGGTGAGAGGGGAAAAGTTTAAGGGAGATATGCGTGGAAAGTTCTTTTTGCAGAGGGTGGTGGGTGCCTGGAATGCGTTGCCAGCGGAGGTGGTAGAGGCAGCCACGATGGCGTCATTTAAGATGTATCTAGACAGATACATGAATGGGCAGGGAGCAGAAGGATACAGATCCTTGGAAAATAGGCGACACGTTTAGATAGAGGATCTGGATTGGCGCAGGCTTGGAGTGCCGAAGGGCCTGTTCCTGTGCTGTAATTTTCTTTGTTCTTTGTATTTCACTTGTCTGTTTATGTCCCCAGTGTCTATTGCCATCCACTTTGTTGCCAAATATTGTATTATCCGGGGGTTTTGAAATTGTAAACACTACTGCACCCAAGTTTTTCTGAAGAAGGGTCTAGGCCCGAAACGTCAGCCTTCCTGCTGCTCTGATGCTGCTTGGCCTGCTGTGTTCGTCAAGCTCTACACCTTGTTATCTCAGATTCTCCAGCATCTGCAGTTCCTACTATCTCTGCACCCAAGTCCAGATCAGTTGTACAAAAAGAAAAATAATGGTCTTAATAATAATAATAATCCCTGCAGACCCCATTACATAACCCAAGTCAGAAAATCATTCATTCATCACTACTGTTACCACTGCCACTTTTATCCTAGTACTTCTATTTTCCTAATGTGTCTGTTACTTTACTATGTATTACTTTGCAGCTGCATTACTTTATTAAGACCCTTTTGAAAATCTATATAAAATCTACTGCACTACCTTGAATCTTCTGTTGTATCCAATTATCCAACCAGGTTTATCAGGGACAACTTGTCTTTTCACAAATTCTGAAATAAATATAGAATTCTGGAGAAACTCTGCAGGTTTGACAATGGTTGATGTTTTGAGTCAGGTATGATTCTTCATTTTCTGTGGCACCTTTTGGCATATCTGGCAGAACAAATCACCAATTTCACAGTCTTTTCAAAAGCAGAGCTTCCAAGTTTTCTTTTCAAGGTTATCAGATATAAGTAACTTTGGTTTAGGTTTAGGTGTATGTGTAGGGTGGAAGATGAATGCGTGTTCAACAAATTTCTATACAGTGAGTCAGCTGGATTAGTAGGATGCCCAAAGCTCTTGCTTCATTGATTCCTTCAAGGATTGCATGCCGATTCTGGACGTTGATTAACATGCCTAGAAGTCACTAACTAATGACAGAGTAAAGTGACAACATCTCCTGTCTGCTGGCATGTGCCTCCACAATGGTCAATGCCAGTAGCTAGGCAATAGAGGATGTCAATGCCAGAACAATCTACAGTGCTACTTGGTAGCTTACTATGCAGCACTTTGGCATTACCTGCCTGTCAAATATTGGCATGTTCTGCCGTCAGCAAAAGTGTGCCATAGCTGCGTCGTGGTAGGCTGGTTTGGAAGATTAACTCTCATGGGATCCCTGCTGAGTTGGTAAGTTGGATACAAAATTGGCTTGGTCTTGGTCATAGAAGACAGAGGGTACAAAAACAAAGTTGCTGGAAAAGCTCAGCAGGTCTGGCAGCATCTGTGAAGGAAAAGACAGAGTTAATGTTCCAGGTCCGGTGACCCTTCCTCAGAAGACAGAGGGTAGTTGTGGAGGGGTGTTTTTTCTGACTGGAGATCTGTGACCAGCAGTGTTCTGCAAGGATCAGTGCTGGGACCTCTGTTTGTAATATATGTAAACAATTTGAATGAAACTATAGGTGTTCTGATTGTTAAGTTTGCAGATGACACAAAAATTGGAGGAGTTGTGGATAGTGAGGAAGGTTGTCAAAGCATACAGCAGGGTATAGATCAGTTGGAAAATTGGTTGGAGAAGTGGCAGATGGAGTTTAATCTGGACGAGTGTGAGGTGATGAATTTTGGGAGATCAAATGCTAGAGGAAAGTATACAGCGAATGGCAGAACCCTTAGGGGCGTTGGTATACGCAGGAATCTTGGGGTGCCAATCCATAGCTCCTTGAAAGTGGCAGCACTAGTGGATAAGGTGGTAAAGAAGGCATTTGGCATGTGTGCCTTCAGTGGTCTGACTATTGAGTATATAAGTTGGTATGTCACATTGCAGCTGTATAAAACTTTATAAAAACCGAAAGAATTGCGGATGCTGTAAAGCTGAGGAAGGGTCACTCAACCTAAAACCTAAACTCTGATTTCTTTCCACAGATGCTGCCAGACTTGCTGAGCTTTTCCACCAATTTCTATTTTTGATTAAAACTTTAGTTAGGCCATATTTGAAGTATTATGTACAGTTCTGGTCACCACACTGCAGCAGTGATGTGGAGGCTCTGGAGAAGGTGCAAAAAGAGGTTTACTAGGATGTAGCCCAGATTGGAGTGGATTAGCTACAAGGAGAGGTTGGATGAACTTGGATTATTTTTCACTAGAGTGTTGGAGGCTAAGGGGCAACTTCTTAGAAGTCTATAAATTTATGACAGTCATCAATAAGGTAGATAGTCAGAGTCTTTTTCCCAGGGGCTATGTCAAATACTAGGGGGCATAGATTTAAGGTGAGAGGGAGAAAGTTTAAGGAGATGTGCAAGGCAAGTTTTCTTAGAAGATGATAGGTGCCTGGAGTGCCCTGCCAAGGGAGGTGGTAGAAGCAGATGTGATAGTGATATTTAAGAGACATTCAGACATAAACGTAAACAAGTAGGGAATAGAGGGATACAGACCATCTGCAGGCAGATGAGATTAGTTTAGAATGGCATCATGTTCAGCACAGACATGTGCCGAAGGGCCTGTTCCTATGCTGTACTGCTGTATGTTCTAAAACGACATCCCATCGGATGTTGATTTGTTTGCTGCCTGTCTATCATTTTTCATACATGGAAGGATGCTGGAAAATTTAATATTACTAAATTGTTTTCAAAAGCAATAAGTGGTAAATGATCATATGATCAACGGTGCCAAAGTACATTTTGGCCAGCTGGTGGGTTGAGAAATCATAAAATGTTTCTACTGTTGCCTCAAAACACTTGCGACCAATTAGGTCACCATTTTAATATAGGAAACACGGGAGCCAGTTTGAACATAACAGCTCCCACAGCAACAGTAAAATACATTAGAGCATTTTTTTAGCTGATGATAGAGGGTTCAGTTTCTTCAAGTACATAAAGTGAACTTTACTGCCCTTCAAAAAGTGTTGTGCTAACATTTAAATCTACCAGAGCATGCAAAGTACTTTCATTAGCATATCATCCAGAATATGACCCCTCCAACAGTGCAACATTCTCATGAACTTGAAGAAAGAAAGTGAAGTAAGCTGGTTATGTAGCTGAAGTATTAGCAAGTAGTAGTTCTTACTATGATCTTGGTTCTTGCCTATTAATCCCAGCAGAGCCTTGCTGTAGATAGTGAATGTATGTTTTATTTAATTAAACAGTTCAATTGCATTGTTGCTACGTGATAGAGATGTATTGATTAATCTACATGAGTTATAGTTTCAAAAACCAGATATTTATATTGACAAACTCAGCTTTTACTCTTCTTAAATTTTTGGATAGACACGCTCACTGCTGGGAGTATTTGAAGAAGATGCTGCTGCCATCTCAAATTATACCAACCAACTTTACAACGCCATGAAGAGGATTTATGATGCACAGGTATCATAAATTATCGGACTAGGACATCAGTTACTGGCGATCTGCATAAAATGAAATGTGGTGTGCTGCGATACAATGGCAAATAGCTTTAACTGCTTTCTGTAACTACTTTCTGTAACTATTTAGAGTTAAGTACCTTGAATATTTTAATATGTCTACCTGATTCCCATCCTATAGTTTCCTTTGTCCTTTGCTTTTTTATTCTTGTTATGTCTACTGATCATCCAGCCTCATACTCGTGACAATGCAGACAACAAATTTTCTTAAAGTTCCCAAAAGAAAAGATAGTGACTGCTCAGTACTAGATGGGTTTCCTGAACAACGATGAAGTATTTGCTTTCTCTTCAGCCACTTGCTGATAAGTGGACACAAATATGCAGAACTAATACAGCATCATAAATATCTTAATGCCTTGAACGTGGTACAACATTCCATATCACTTCAAAAATGGCAAACCAAAGACTGAGCCAGAGGAAGAGGTTTGAGGCAGGATGATCAAAGCTTGGTTGAAGGACTTAAAGAAAGATGAATCAGGGAGAGGTATATGGGTTTGGAGAAGGATTTCTAGAGCATGATGGCACAACTGATAAATTTACTGCAAAGCTCAGAACCTACTTTTTTTTTGTGAAATGTAACCTCAGTTTGTGTAGTGAGAGGAGTGCAATAATTGTCTCCAACATTTTTCCTGAATTCAAGTGGAGACACCAGCTCCTACTCCATATGGTGTGATGGCTATGTGGACAGGAGTTGACACCGTGGCCTATTCACCAATTAGAAAGTTTATACTCACCATTTTGAGTAAGGACTTGAATATCTTCCAGTTAGACAGAGAAATATCTTGAAGGTGGAGCTGCAGGTAGATAGGATAGTGAAGAAGGCGTTTGGTATGGTTGCCTTTATTGGTCAGTGCATTGAGTAAAGGAATTGGGAGGTCATGTTGCAGCTGTACAGGACATTAGTTCGGCCACTTTTGGAGTATTGCATGCAGTCCTGGTCTCCCTCCTATAAGAAGGATGCTGTGAAACTAGAAAGGGTTCAGAAAAGATTTACAAGGAAGTTGCCAGGGTTGGAGAGTTTGAGCTGTAGGGAGAGGCTGAATAGGCTGGGGCTATTTTCCCAGGAGCATTAGAGGCTGAGGGGTGATCTTAGAGGTTTGTAAAATCATGAGGGACATGGATAGGGTAAATGGACAAGGTCTTTTCCCTGCAGTGGGGAGTCCAAAACTAGAGTGCATAGGTTTAAGGTGAGAGGACAAAGATATAAAAGACACCGAAGGGGCAACATTTTCACGCAGAGTGTGGTGTGTGTATGGAATCAGCTCCCAGAGGAAGTGGTGAAGGCTGGCACAATTACAACATTTGAAAGGCAGCTGGATGGGTATATGAATAGTAAGGGTTTGGAGGGATATTGACCAAATGCTGGCAAATGGGACTAGATTTATATAGGATATCTGGTTGGCATGGATGAGTTGGACCAAGGGTCTATTTCTGTGCTGTATATCTCTATGACTCTATATCCAACCCTTTAGAATTATTTTGGCTGATTAGTAATCACCACCTTCACCAGAACATGAATGGACAATAAATGCTGGCTTTACCTCTCACTCTCACTTTTTTTACTATTTTATTCACACATGCAATGATGTACTTTTAATCACTATCATTGGAGGTACACCATAGTAGATATACCCTCTCATTCTGAAGGCTTCAATTCATTACTGCAGTATGTGTCAGTCACCTCTGGTGCCTCATTAAAATGAATATTTGTACATCAAATTTTGACAGTGGATGTTGTTGATAAGCTAGTGAGAATGGAGGCATCTCCTATTTGTGATTTTTGTAAATAATTTGGATGAAGGAGTGGATGGGTGGATTAGCAAGTTCGCGGATGATACGAAGGTTGGTCGCGTTGTGGACAATGCGGAGGGCTGTTCTAGGTTACAAAGGGACATTGATAGGATGCAGAGCTGGGCTGAGAAGTGGCAGATGGAATTTAACCCTGAAAAGTGTGAGGTGATTCATTTTGGAAGGACAAACTTGAAAGCAGAATACAGGGTTAACGGAAGGATTCTTGGCAGTGTGGAGGAGCAGAGGGATCTTGGGGTTCATGTTCACAGTTCCCTGAAAGCTGCCACCCAAGTGGATAGAGTTGTTAAGAAGGCGTATGGTGTGTTAGCTTTCATTAATAGAGGGATTGAGTTCAAGAGCCGTGAAGTTATGCTCCAGCTATACAAAAGCCTGTTTTGGCCACATCTGGAGTACTGTGTCCAGTTCTGGTCGCCTCATTACAGGAAAGATGTGGAAGCGTTGGAAAAGGTGCAGAGGAGATTTACCAGAATGTTGCCTGGAATGGAGGGAAGGTCTTGCGAGGAAAGGTTGAGAGAGCTAGGGCTTTTCTCTTTAGAATGACGAAGGATGAGAGGTAACTTGATAAAGATGTACAAAATGATCGGAGGTGTAGATAGAGTAGACAGCCAGAGACTTTTTTTCCTAGGGTGGAGGTAGCTGTTACGAGGGGGCATAGTTTTAAAGTGAGCGCAGGTAGATATAGGGGAGACGTCAGAGGTAGGTTCTTTTCTCAGAGAGTGGTTGGGGCATGGAATACTTGCCGGAGAGGGTAGTGGAGTCAGCCTCATTAGGGACATTTAAGCGGCTATTAGATAGGCATACGGATGCTAGTATAAGGTAGAGTTGGAGGTTAGATAGACCTTAGGATTAGGGTAAAAGTTCAACACAACATCGTGGGCCGAAGGGCCTGTACTGTGCTGTACTGTTCTATGTTCTATGTTCTGTCATTGTCAAACCTATTGAGGCAGTCACATGATATAAGCATCCTGGCATTTTTTTTTCCTTCTAGCAGTGGCAGGCAGTGAATTCCAGTGACACTACCAAGAATTCAGTTGTGACTAGTTAACTTGGGACTGATAGTGATCTTATTCGGACCTCCTTGGTCTGTGTGATCATTCACTGGTTAAACACAGTCACTAGACAAGCAAAAATTAATCACTTGAGAGGAAGATGTCGAGCTAACTTGTAAATTTCTACCTTCAAAACACACATCTAAACATGCTTCAAGAGTATTAGTCGTACACTTGAACTAGAAATGTCAATGTGCACTAACGTGTGCAACATTAAAACAAACTAAGAAGAATCATGTTGGACTTGAATTGTTTCTCTTTCCCCAGATCGAGCCAGACTGGCTAAGTTTCTGCAGTATTCTCTGTTTGTGATTGAAACAAAATACACTGATTATTTGAAAATTCATAAATGAATACAATAGCCAATGTTTTCAAGTTTGTAAGTGATTAACTGAATTGAGACAAATAACATTGAACAAATAAAAACTGGAAATGCTCAGCATGCTAGCTGGGGAGAACATATTTAAGGCAGGAACATGTATTTTTAAGCTTTTTTTCATTCAAACTTGTAAAACAGACAGAAGAAATTGACTCAGGTGGGCTACACATGCAGTTTAATATTAAATAATTAACTAGTCTAAATGTAATTATCATTTCAAAATTATTTGAATATCCAATAAAGAGATACACAGAGAGGTGAAGGGGGCTAAAATCAGATGTTGGAAAATGGTAAAATCTGAAGTATAAACAAAATTCTGGAAATACGTAGGCAGCAGCTGTGGAAAGAGAACATTATAAAGGAGGACGAGTGGACAAACAGATTTTTAAAATTTTAACGAGTAATACAAGTGTGTGTTGCAGTAATTGCAGTTATATTATGGTCAGCAAAACTTGAAAAGTATAGATTCCAAAAAACTAAACCTAACCTCTATTACAGATTTTGTCTTACTGAAAAGCAGAGATTTTACTGCAACTGTGAAAATTGAGCAGCGTAGTACCTTAAGAGCTTCATAGCAAATATTTTAATGTAATGGTTTGCCATGTGTGGAGTACTCCGTTGTGGCCAACATCCTTGCAGGTCTAATATTTTTATTAGCACAGCATTAGGCTCTCAGTTTGCTATTTGTCAAACAATCTAAGATTTTGAAATTTGCTAACCAGTGGTATGCCTTGGCAACAAAGTAGTGCCAGTAGCTACAGTTGCTGTTTTAAACAGGAAAGTGGAGATGAACTATCAGTTAACAGCTATATCTTTCTTAAGCACACAGTTACTATGTTGCATTGAATTTCGTCACATTTACATTCTGTGACTTTACCTGTGTTCTGAATGTCTTAAAAAAAAGCTAGTTAAAGACCCATAACATTTTAGGGAACAATAACAATAAAAATAAGAGTAAAAATAGGAAGGTGAGGGGGCAGGGTGTGATAGAATTACTGCATGCAAATATTTACTACCTGCAAACCGAATTTAGTTGCTGTAACCTGTGTCCTAATTAAAGATCATTGACTTGAAATGTTAACTCTTTCTCTCCCAGATGCTGTTTGTTCTGTGTTCATTCTTGCTATCTTTTGATTGTTCTTGTTGAGACTTCCCTTCAGATAAAAAGCAAAATATTGCAGATAAAGGAACTACATTGTGAATATTACTGGATTTTTAATTAGGTTTAAAGCAACCACCGTGACATTGTTGACAAGGGCAATACTTGTTGTAGCATTATCTATACAGACAGCAGAGAATTCAGTTTTGAAACCGCATCTCCACTAAGCCAGCTGATCTAGGGTGTTGCATTACCCTTGACTATGACAGGAAAAAACACAATCAGCTGTGTTCCATAATTAAAAATATGCAAGCATACATACATACATCACTAGACTCAGGTATGTTGCTTCGCACTGCCAAGTAGAATGGTGCCTTTTGAACCAGGGTATTTGCTTCTGTGCCCAATCCAAAATTTTTGATCCATTGTAATGATTGAGCAAAAAAACTGATTGGCAAGTGCAAGAATGAAAAACATATGTGCACTGTTTTGGGAAATTTGGTGAGGTCACTGCAAAACAATTCCCCATGAAGAGCATGTTCTTGCAAGAAATGAAGGGAGCATAAGCCAGAAACCTAATTTGATCTAAGTTTTCTTTTGCAGAATGAATTAAGCACAGCAACACGTTTGACCTCCAAGCTGCTCAAGGAATATGAGAAACAGGTAAAAATAAATTTGAAGAAAGCAAAAATGGAACTCTGATCTGCCCTGGCAGTTTTTGACTATAAACTACCTTCATTACATTATGATTTATGGAAAGAACATTGTAGCATGTGTTCAGTTGAATGCTGGGTACAGTATAATAATTGAGAAAGTGGAATAGACAAAGACTAATTCCATTGAAGCAGAGAAAGGTAAAGGTAAAGGTAGTCCTTTCGATTATGAAGGGTTTTGATCGAGTTCATAGGAAAAAAAATAATTCTCCCAATTGGAAGTGTCAGTGTTTCAGTATCATCCATTTGAAATTAGCTGTGAAAAGAGAGGTTGAGAAATATCTATTGTAAGCATGGCAAATACTATTGTGTTTTTAAGGAAGAAATTAATAAATATTTGAGGCCAGTAATATTGGGATATGGGTAAGCTTGGAGCAATGGGATTAGGCTTTGGAACTTTTGAGAAAAGAATAAACCCGGTGGACTGAAGAATGCTACGCATCTTCTCTGTGCATACTCACGTACGCAGACAGACAACACACACACACGCAGTTATGTAAGCTTGATGATTTCAGGATATTTAACAATAAGTAATTGCAGCGCATTAAATGCCTTGTGCTTGGAATCAATCAATGGTGTCACAGTTAATCTGAGAGGAAGTGTGCAGTAATGTGTCTAAGCGAGTTCCTGCTATGACACAGCTAAGAGTTATAAGCTCCTTAATAACTTAGTGTCAGTGGCCACAGATCATGGAATTTTAAAAAGCAATTGCATTAAATTTAAAATTACATGAAATATTTTCCACTGTTTCAATTCCGTTCTGTTTTGATTTATTTCTCTGCTGCATTGATTTATTTCTTCATTGGATATACAGAACATTCCTACAGAACACATAGTTAGTCCATAGGAATGTCGGAAATAGGACCATTAGTAGGCCTTCAAGCCTGCTCTGCCATTCAGCTAGGTAATGGCTGATCTTTTACGTCAATTCCATGTTCTGCTGTATTCTCAGTCTCTTAATGACTTTAATATCTAGAAATCTATTGATCTTTATCTTGAATGTATTCAATGTCTGAACCTCCACAGCCATCTCATCTCAAATAGGCCCTAAATGCCTCTTCCTTATTCTAATACTGTAAAGCAGCTATGTCCTTGAATAAGAAGACCAGAGCTATACACAATACTCTCGGTGCTGTCTTGCCAGGGCAGTATAAAATTACAAGGCATTTTTATTCCTGTACTCAAATCCTTTTGCAGTAAAAGTCATTATGTCATTTGCCTTCCTAATGGCTTTATTGCATTGCATGTTAGCTTTCATGCATTTATTTTTCAGGGACACGTGAACGAAGCTACCAAGTCCCATTGGACATGAACACTTGCCAGTCTTTCTTCACATATGAAATGTTCTGTATTTTTGTTTTCCCACCAAAGTGGATAACTTTACATTTTCCATGTAATATTCCATTTGCCATGTTCTTGCCCACTAAGTTAGCTTGTCCACATCCCCTTGAACCTTCTTTGCTGCATCCTCACAATTCACATGCCCAAAAAAAACCCTTTAACATTCAGTTCCCAGCCATGGTTCCCCTGCATTTCTAGAATGGCAATTAGGTCATACTCATTGAATTGTATCTGTACCATGAATTCATCTACCGTATTGCCAATGCTGCACTCATTCAGATAGGGTACCTTTTAATTTTGTCTTTTTACTACTTTTGTTTTACATATTTTGAACCTATTTGGTATTGACATTTGTTTCTGCTGCCTTCCAATTTCACTTGTTACATTTCTTGCAACTATTGCCAGCTTTGTTTCTATCTTAGCTGAATTCTCTCTCAGTTTCCCACCACCCTGAAAAGTTTGTTTAAAATTTCCCCAAAAGCACTAGCAAATCTGCCTGTTAGAATTTTGGTTTTGGTCCTACTAAAATATAACCTATCCTTCCCGTTAACATATCACATTTCAGTGGAAAATTTTATTGGATGCCACCTGACCCAGAATTGGTTCCAATGCTTCCAATCTAAAACCTTTCCTCCTGTGCCATCTCTCCAGCCACACATTCATTTGCTTGATCTTCTTATTTCTCTACTCATTAATTTGTGGCACTGCAAAATTCTCTTTGAAGTCAGCTTTTAAATTTCTTTGATAGCTCTCAGAAGTACCTTCATGACCTCATCCGTCTTTCTGCCTGTGCCATTAGTATTGATATGGACTGTGGCGTCCAGTTGTTCACCCTTTCCCTTCTGCCAGAAGCATATCCTGCAGCCACTTAGTGACATTGACCTTGTCACCTAGAAGACAACATATTCTCCTGGAGTCACATCTGTGGTGACAAAGATGCCTGTCTGTGCCCTTACTTATTGAATCTCATACACTATTGCTCTTTCATTCTTTACCCCCTCTCCTATTCCCCTGAACCACATGTGGTGCCCTGGATTTAGTCCTGGCTGCACTCCACTGAGAAATCATTGCCCTCACTCGAATGCTAAGTGGAAAATAAGTTAGTGAGTAAGATGGACTTAGGGGACTCCTGCACCTATCTGCTAGTCCTTGACTGCCTGGTGATCATCCAGTCCCTCCTTGCCTATGTTCTATTTATCTGCTATCTGACCACTTCCCTAAATGTGCTATCCTTGTAGTTCTAAGATTTTCGGATGTATTGCAATGACTAGAGTCATCGTTCACATTTTGAAACCCAAAGGTTGGGTTTCTGTACTTGGTAACACTTCCTCCACATGATCATTTAGTCCACAGGAAGAATGAATGTCTTCCCACATATCACAGGACGCACGTTCAGTATGGTTAAACAACCCTCCTATGACTTAACATTACTTTACAGTCTATTTATTACAAACTGGAGACAAGAACTTAGAAAGTAGTTACTCACCAATTAGTGCCTTCCATGTTGATATCACTTTTTATGACGTTAAAAAGTCTTTGTCCTTCCTCTGTCTCTGCTGCCCATTTTTAAAGCCGTGCCTAGTTCTGGCTTCTTCCCACTTATTCTAATTAACTAGTTGACACCACCACTTAATGTATTAGTTTAAATCTTAGTGATACAATGAACCGTATCATTTAATAAAAAAGTAGATTCACTGGCTTCTTAATTCCTGTCTGCTTATGTATCTGAATTAGAGCTAGCAATTTAACAGTTATTTATTCATTTTACATTTCTCTAATTTTCATTTATTTAGACACTCCCTAATAGCATTTACTCGCCGACCAATCAAATTGTGATTTCCCTGATTTTGTTTTTGTGAAAGATTAGCTGAAATCCCAAACTCTTACCTTTTGACATTGTTGAAAACCTGAACTATTTTAAGTTAATGCAGAATCAATCAGATGAATATTTTCTGGGAATCTAGAATATTCCAGCACATCTGAAAGATGGATTTTAGTTTTAACTATTTTGCATAGTTACAAACATTTTAAAACGTTACTATTATATCTTCATGGAGGAAAAGTATTGAGCCTTGTCTAGGTGCAAAGTAAACCTGGTATATTTTAAGTTTGCACATAATTTTACAATAGGTCATGATAGCTGAACTAAAAAAGTAAAATTGCCATAGTCCCAGAGGACCATTGAGCTGTGCTCTCAGAGTTAGTAAATAAGAGTAAAGCAGTTTATCTGCATTCCTTTCGGCCTCTCTTCAACTATGTTACATCAGAAAATGTATCGGTTCAGCAGTGGAAACCAGTGCTTTCACATTGTTCTAGTTCCAACCTAGCCTTTTTTTTGGTCGTTATTCTGTACAATAAAATCTCAATTCCAAAGTTAAAAATTGCAATGTCATCATAATCCATTTCAGAATATTTTTTCATGCTAATTGTTGAAGTTGTTTCTATACTATTGTTAAAACAGGCACTAAGCTCATTCTTGTACCTTTTCCAGTAGGTTATTATTCAGTTAATCTTCAAGAGAGTGTTTTTGGGTTATTTAAACAGTGCCCACCCCTACTCTTCTCTCACATTCCCCTAAAAAAAAAACACAAGGGAAATTAGTGCAAATCAGATATCAATATTTGCAACCTTCCTAGTCGATATTGCTCATCAGACAGTTTGTCAATTATTGATGAAACCCTTTCTCCTCTTAGCTGGAGAATGGTGAATATAGAATGCAGGAGGATGAGAATTCAACTTTGGCTTTGATATTCATTACCAGGGCTTTGTATGTGTGCAAGTATCCTAGTAGTTTTCGTCCACATAATTCATCCCAATTGGGAGACTAACAGTAATTTTGACAATAAGATGAGAAACTAACAGTTGAAGAGCCAGACTACTGTTGCTCTAAAAGGCTAATTATGTTGTGATATTAAGTAGGACTGTGGAGCAAGTCACTTGCTGGCACAGAATTTTCTGCATTGTAGACACAATCTAAAATCACATTTTGTAACATCGATATTTTTAAAAAGGTATATCCTAATTTTAAAAACTTCTTTATATATATAGTTTTAATCGCCACCAAGATCCGAACCCTACACCTACCTGTTCACAATTGCATGGTATTTCATTAAATGGAATCCCTTTCGTGCATTAAGTGCCCTTCAGTTTATTTACTACAAAGTTGTTTCTTATTCCAATGGTCAGAGCACTAAAATACAGAATTGACATTTTTTCCTAGGAGATGATTTTGGCTTCATTATGAATTATTTTATAGGGTAGTCAAGTGGAGTCAAATAGCCAACTCTTGCTCAAAATTAAGATGTGAGTAACAGTCATTTGGGTAGGATATTAATCATAATAAAACTCATTAAGTGAAGAAAAAATGATGTCTAATGATCGAAATTTTGTTGCTTTTGACCAAAGTGGACTTATTTGCTATTCAACAAATTAATTTTATTTGCCAACTTTTTTGATAGCGTTTTCCCCTAGGTGGTGATGATGAGGTCATGACCTCCACACTACAGCAATTTGCTCAAGTAATAGATGAAGTAAGTGTTAACTCAATTTGTTTCAATCACGTTTCATATATCTTGGTAATAGTAATCAAACAATAATGTTAATGGGTATTGAGTAAAACAACCCTTAATCAACTAAATGTCTAATTTTGCTAACATTAACTTTCATTTTCAATGAAGAAACATTACTGTCAATTTTTGCACTTCATGTAAAGGTTTATAAAGAGGGATACCAACTATAATTGAGACATTTTGAAGTGGTAACATGCTTCTAAGGTAATTGAATCCTGTCAATATTTTATGTCAAATGGACTAGATTTAGAACATAAATTTATACAGTCTACCTGCCAAGGTGAAAGAGCAGCCAACAACGCATAAAGCTAGATATCATCTAGGAATGAAGCAGCCTACTTTACGGGTGTTCTATAAGTACATAACTCCCTTCACCAATGGGATTGTGGTAGTACTGTGTATCATGTACAGGGTGAGTTACAATAATGCACCAACTCTCCTGTAATTAGCACTTGCCAGAACCGATGGTCACCTAGAAGGGCAAGGGCAACAGATGCATGGGAGCAGCACCAACTGCAAGTTCTTCTCTGCACCATACTGACTTAAAGCTATACAAAAACCTTGGATTCAGATCTAACCCTGATTTTGTCATCAAGCCTGCCGATAAGGGTGGTGCTGTTGTTGTCTGGCGTACTGACCTCTACCTTGCAGAGGCTGAGCGCCAGCTCTCAGATACCTCCTCCTACCTTCCCCTGGACCATGACCCCACCATGGCACATCAGGCCATTGTGTCCACTACGGTTACGGATCTCATTTCATCCGGTGATCTCTCCCCATCCACTTCCAAGCTAACAGTCCCCCAAACCCGCACAGCTCATTTCTACCTCCTGCCAAAAATCCACAAACAGGACTGTCCAGGTCGACCCATTGTTTCAGCCTGCTCATGCCCCACAGAACTCATCTCTTCCTACCTTGACTCAGTCTTCTCCCCCCGGTCCAATCCCTACCCACATACATCCATGATTCATCTGATGCCTTACGCCGGTTTCAAAGCTTCCAGTTTACCGGCTCCAGCCACCTCCTCTTTACCATGGATGTGCAATCTCTTTACACATCCATTCCCCACCAGGAGGGTCTTAGGGCTCTCCGCTTCTTCCTGGAGCAAAGACCTGAACCATCCCCACCATCCCCACCCACCACCACCCTCCTCCGCTTGGCTGAGCTTGTCCTCACAACTTCTCTTTCAACTCTTCTCATTTTCTTCAGGTAAGAGGGGTTGCCATGGGTACCCGCATAGGCCCTAGTTATGCCTGTCTCTTTGTGGAGTACGTGGAACATTCCTTGCTCCAGTCCTATTCCGGCCCCCACCCACAACTCTTTCACCAATACATCGATATATCATCGGTGCTGCTTCCCTCTCTCATCTAGAATTGGAAAACTTCATCAATTTCGCCTCAATTTTCACCCTGCCCTCACTTTCACCTGGTCTATCTCTGACTCCTCCCTTCCCTTCCTCGACATTTCTGTTTCCATTTCTGGGGATAGACTGGCCACTAATATCCATTACAAACCCACTGACTCCCACAGCTACCTGGACTGTACATCCTCACACGCCACTTCCTGTAAAGACTCCATCCCATTCTCTCAGTTCCTCCGTCTCTGTCGCATATGTTCAGATGAGGCCAACTTTGACAAGGGAGCCTCCGAAATGTCCACATTCTTCCTCAACCGAGGATTTCCCAGCTCCGTTGTCAACAGGGCCCTCAATCGGGTCCGACCCATCTCCCGCACTTCTGCCCTCACCCCTTCTCTTCCCTCCCGCAACAGCGATAGGGTTCCCCTTATCCTCACCTACCATCCCACCAGCATCCACATCCAGAAGATCATCAGACGCCATTTCCGCCACCTCCAGCAAGATGCCACCACCAGACACGTATTAATCTTCCCTGCCTTGTCTGCCTTCTGCAGGAACCGTTCCCTCCAGGACACCCTGGTCCACACTTCCTTCACCCCCAACACCTCCCCACAGCCCTATGGCACCTTCCCCTTTAACCAGCGAAGGTGCAACACTTGCGCAATTACCTCCTCCCTCCCCGGAATCCAAGGGCCCAAACATACCTTCCAGGTGAAGCAACACTTTACCTGCACTTCCAAGAATCTAATCTACTGTATTCGCTGCTCACAATGTGGTCTCCTGTACATTGGGGAAACGAAGCGTAGACTTGGCGACCGCTTCGCAGAACATTTACGTTCTGCTCGCAAAAAAGACCCTGAACTACCTGTTGCCTGCCATTTCAATGCACCACCCTGCTCCCTGGCCAACATCTCTGTCTCCAGTTTGCTACAGTGTTCCAGTGAAGCCCAACGCAAGCTGGAGGAACAACACCTCATTTTCCACTTGGGGACCCTACAGCCCTCCGGACTCAATATTGAGTTCAATAATTTTAGGGCCTAAACTCTCCCATGTCCCAGCCTCCCACTGCCACACACCAGGCCTTGTTACCACATAGGCTGCCACTACACACACCTGTTGTTAGTCACTAACAGTCCCCATTAACAACTATTCACCCTCCCAGCCTGATCGTTCTCAACTCCTTTGTCTGTCCAACTGTCTTTCTCTCTCTTTGGGCTCTATCTTATCGTTTACTCCCTACCCCACCCACCTCCCTATTTTCTGCATATAAACTGACGTTTTCCCAGCCACCATCGTTTCTGAGGAAGGGTCACCGGACCCGAAACATTAACTCGTGTTTTCTCATTCACAGATGCTGCCAGACCTGCTGAGCTTTTCCAGCAACTTTGTTTTTGTTCCTGATTTACAGCATCCGCAGTTCTTTTGGTTTTTAACCTTGGAACTCTCTCTTCCTAACAACACAGTGGGTGTACCTATGCCACATGGACCTCAGCGGTTCAAGTAGGTGGCTCACCATTACCCTCTACAGGGAAATTGGGACTATGCGACAAATACTAGTCTGCCATTGATATTTATCGCATGAATGAATGAATGTTTTAAAAGTGCAATTGACTATTAAGCAGTATTTCGCCTTTTATCTTCTGAACATTCTAAACTTATCTTAAGCGACAGAGATGTAGAACTCTGTAATTTTAGAAATGTATAAAGTTTAAACAGAAGAACTTTTACTTCAGTGTAGGCATGTAAAATCTGGAACAATAGTGATAGTTATACATAGAAATGTTGCATTTTTGTCCCTAGTATAGAAGAATCCAGCACTTTTTACTTTTTTGTTATTTTCTCTCTGTCTTACTGGCCATTTTCTATTCTTTTTAGTTCCACGGATTTTGGGCATTTTCATGTCAGTGGTCATTCTAAATGCTTGATCCATAGATTACATCAACTTGCTGTCTGACTCTGCAGCATAAATCTGTTCTTGCCCAATGTTCATTCATACAATCACATTTCAGAAGAATCAATGATGAGGAGCAGTGATTGAAGTTCTGTCTCTAGTTGCCTTCAATAATTGAGGCAAATTGTACCACTTTACTGCCAATCCAGATCATATCAACTAAATTAGTGCTGACCAGAGGTTAATAGACTTGGATGTCTCAACTGGTATCCGAATAAAGTCAGTGAAACATTGTGTTCCAGGATTCAAAAGTTAAGTTGTTGTTGTTGTTAAGATAACCCCAGGTCCTGAATCATTTTTGCATTATTTAAGAAGTCTGCCAATATGTAAGACTACAGAAAGCTAAAAGACTTCAGGATCTTATATATTTTTTCTAGAGAATAAAACGTCCTTTTGTCCTTTAGCTCAGCTCCTGCCATGCTGTCCTTTCAACGCAATTAGCTGATGCCATGATGTTTCCCATTACACAGTTTAAGGAGAAGGATTTAAAAGGTATGAAAACATTGTATTTAATATGATTTAATAATTTAATTGCATCTCCAGATCCTTTTATCGTGATGTCTTAAAAACTACCAACTTGCAAATGTTTAAAAATGGCATATTTCGCTGTGCGTTAATTGTATGTTAGGTTAGATTATTAAGTATGCACTCAGATGAAAAACCAAAATGGAATAACAGGGAACCTAGTCAAAGCAAACGTTATATGAAATTTTTCTTGCCTTTTAAGTAGCCTTAAAAATGTCAATTATTTTTAAGTATACTTTAATCAAGGTCGCAAATTTTCACACAACAATGCCCAGCAATATCAATCGGATGAGCAATCAGTTGATCTATTCTACTGGTATTTGTTTGAGTCGTAAATCTTGGCAAGACAGAGATGAGCAGGAAGGTGGGCCTTATTTAATATCTTCTCTAAAAGATGTTACATCCAATAATATTGCAATCTCCCATTGCACCGAAAACACTCCTATTTAAATATGCAGCCTGAAATTTTGTAATTAAAAAGAGTGCTACCATGTAATTCTGCTGACAGGTATTAAATGTGATCGCAAAAATTAGTCAAATTTTTAATCAGTTTCATTCAATAATATTTTTCATTTATTTTCAGAAATGCTAACCCTAAATGAAGTATTTGCTATAGCAAGTAATGGTGAGTTTGATTTCATTTATCAATATCTAAATTAGAAAAATATAGAAATTAGCCTCCGGAAGCACAGTGCTGTGGCCAGGCTACACTGTCTAATTCATAGATTCATAGAATCCCTACAGTGTGGAAGCAGGCAATTTGGCCCAACGAGTCCACATTGACCCTCTGAACAGCATCCCACCCACACCCACCTCCCTACCCTATCCCTGTAACCCTTCACGTCCCATGGCTAATCCACCTAACCTGCTGCCTTGGATCACAGAGTAAATCCAGGCAGTTCTTTTGGATTCAGTTAAATATAGATAAGAGAACAATAGCAATTTGTGTAAATGTGGGTGTTTATTAAGTAATAACAATGACAATAATAAGACTAAAACATGGAAAAGAAAGGAAAAAGACAATAAATCATGTGCCTGTTGGGGACCCCTCGATCGACGTCTGGTCTGGAAGCTTAGGTTCGCTTCTGGCACCGTTCACAATCCTGGTCTGAGGTGAAGTCCAGTTCTCAACGAAACTCTCTTTCTCTTATACAGTGTAACAAACAGCTAGCGCAGAGAAAGCAGATACAGAAGACAAAACTGCTTGCTAGTACAGAAAACAAGTTTTTTTTTAAATTGTGCTGTCTGAGGCACATACGGGAATGTTCACAGGACCATTTCAAAGTCATGCAGCTGTCGAATGTCATCATTAACTTTCCCATCCTGTACAACTGCACATCTTTGGACTGTGGGAGGAAACTGGAGCATCCAGCAGAAACCTGCGCAGACACTGGGAGAATGTACAAACTCCACACAGTCGCCCGAGGGTGGAATCAAACCCGGGTCCCTGCTGCTTGAGGCAGCAGTGCTAACCACTGTGCCACCAAGCTGCCCATGCGCCCAATTGTGGGACATCACTGAGGAGGAGTTTTCAGGAATGGCCAGCCAATCTGACTGGGCAGTAAGTCCAACAGTACCACAGCACGTGACTTTGGTGGTAGCTATTGCTGGTAACTGCAGCCAGAACCACAAGGAAGAAAATGTAGATCATGGAGTGAGCTATGTCTGGGCTGTTGAATTGGAAAGCCTGGGGATAGTGAGGAGGTGGTGATCAGGAGGTGGGTTTTTCTAGAGCAGGTGAGGCTGAAGAAATTGTGGTGAATATGGGAGCTTCCCCTCATGAACAAATGTTGTCCTTGAAGATAGTCCCCACATTTCCTCCCATCGTTTTACAAACTCCAACTGTATTTTGGCAGAGGCAGCATATTATTGGTTTTTAAATAGCTCAATTGGCCCTTAATATATTCATTTATAGTTAGTTGGCCGGCTGCCATTTTCAGTGCCTGTCCACCCTGTACTGTGGGAGTGGGCTTGGGAGTATGGGAAGGCAGTGACCTAGCTCCCCAACCTATTTCCCATGCGCATACCAAAAAACATCCCCAGTGGAGGCACATATTATCTACACATGTTATGTACCATCCTTTTTCCATTATTTACATCTAGCACAGTATTGAGACTTCAGTGATAAGTAGGATAACTGCCGTCCTAATTTTGCCTGAATAAATCACAGAATGCCCACTGATATACTCTGCAGAAAGATTGAGAAAGCAAATCAGCAACAATGCCCTTGAGGAGGAATTCCTGGAACGTGTATAGGATGGTTTTCTGGATCAATATGTTGAGGAGCCAACTACACAGCACGCCGTCTTAGACTGATATTATGTCATCATAAGAGAATAATTGGCATTCTCGCTGTGTAAGGTCCCTTAGGAATAGTGACCACAATATGATACAATTCTTAATTAAGATGGAGAGTGGCGTATTTGATTCTGAGACTGGGGCCTTGAATCTAAATAAAGGATACTATGATGGTATGAGGTGTGAACTGGCTGTGATGAATTGGGGAATGCTGTTTAAAGGGAAGATATTGGCTAGGCAATGTCAATCATTTAAAGAACACGTGGATGAAGTGCGACAATTGTCCATTCTTGTCTGGCACAGAATTAAAATGGGAAATGTGGCCCAACCATGGCTAATGAGGGAAATTAGGGATAGTACTACATCCAAGGAAAGGGCATACAAATTGGCCAAGTAAAACAACAGAGCCAAAGATTGGGAGCTGTTTAGATTTCAGCATAGGTGGACAAAAGGATTGATTAAGAAAGGAAAAAGAATACAAGAAGTGAAGGAGGTGAAGTGGCAACCCCCACCCCACCTCGGCATGGCGGTCTTGTTCCCGTGTGGACGTCTCCTTAGCCTTCAGTTTCCAGCGCCCTGGCAGGCTATCTCATCCAGCAGTGGCAGTCTTGGTCTGGCATGGCAGTCTTCTTCAGCGGAAGCTTCCAGCCCAGTATTCCAGCAGCCTGGCATGGCAGTCTTGTACTGGCGCGGGAATCTTGTTCCAGAATGGAGGACTTGTCCCAGCTGCTGCTTCAGGGTATTCCGTCATTCCTTAATCAGCTTTCCCTGAGACCAGGAGTCATTAATTGAACTGTGACTTACTTAGTCTTAATCTTTTTCTTCGTTGTTGTTTTATATGACTTCTATCATTGTAGGTTCTGTGGTGGGGCGACTATAAAACTTCTCACTCTATTTTTCATGTGAAGGTACATGTGACAATAAATTTCTGTTCTATTCTGTTCTTGATGGAGATAAGCCTCAGACTTTAAGATCTGGATCTTTTTTCTTACCTTTTGGCTTCCTGTTTTTTCTACTGTGTTTTTTTTTAAATTCTGGTTTTGTAACCCAGATGGCACCGGAGAATAGCGACTTTTCACTGTGGTCCTGTATTCCTATACTTGAGTACATGTGACAATAAAATCTAATTCTAATAGTAAGGAATGAAGAGATGACCGACCAATCAACTACATAGTATAGTTCTGTTTTTGCAAGGAGGACATAAGTAATGTCACAAAAATGTTGGGGAAACACAGTGTCCAGTGAGAACAACATCAGTTTTAGCAAGGAAATGGTGTTGGGGAAATTGATGGGATTAAATGCTGATAAATCCCTAGGACCTGATAATCTACATTCCAGAGTACTTAAAGAAGTGGCATGAGAAATAGTAGATACATTAGTGGTCAACTTTCAAAATTCTACAGACTCTGGAACATCACCTGTGGTTTGGAGGGTAGCTAATGTAACCCCACTATTTAATAAAAGGAGGTAGGGAGAAATCAGGGAATTATAAATTGGTCAGTCTGACATCAGTAGTGAGGAAAATTTTAGAGTCCATTATAAAAGAGCAGTTGCTGAACAGTGACAGGATCCAACAAAGTCAGCATGGATTTATGCGGGGGGAAAATGATGCTTGTAGACGACACAAGGCTGGGTGGGAGATTGAGCTGCGAGGAGAATTCAGAACTGCTTCAGTGTGATTTGGACAAAGAGTGTGAGTGGTCAGATGCAGCGCACACGAAGTAAAATGATGTTTGCTGTGAATGATGATAAATTGGGAAAGCGGGGGTTGCAATGAAACCTGGGTGTGCTCATACACTAGTTGCTGAAAGTAAGCATACAGGTGCAGTAGGCAGTGGAGAAGGCAAATGGTATGTTAGCCTTCATTGTGAGAGGGCTTGAGTAGAGAAGCAGGGATGTCTTGTTGTAATAATATAGGATTTTGCTGAGACCACACCTAGAGCAATGTTTGCAGTTTTGATCTCTTATCTGAGGAAGGATATTCTTGCTGTGGAGGGAGTGCAGTGGAGATGAGCCATCTGATTCCGGGCGAGACTGACTTTTGAAGAGAGACGGGATCAGTTAGGACTATATTCACTGGAGTTTAGAAGAATGACCGGGATCTGATAGAAACCTAAAAAAATTCTGACAGGACTAGACATTGGAAATGTAGGAATGATGCTTACAATGACTGGGGAGTAGAGAACTAGGGTTCGCAGTTTGAGGATATAGGGTAGGCTATTTAGGATACAGATGAGGGATTTCTTCACTCAGAGACTGAAGGCATTTGGCACACTTGCCTTCATTGATCAGTCCTTTGAATATAGGAGTTGGGAAGTCATGTTAAGGTTGTGCAGGACATTGGTGAGGCTTCTTCTGGAATACTGTGTCCAGTTCTGGTCACCCAGTTATAGGAAGAATATATCAAGCTGGAGAGGATTCAGAAGAGGTTTACTAGGATGTTGCCGAGTTTGGAAGATTTGTGTGAAATAGAAAGGCTGGGTAGACTGGGACTTTTTTCACCAGAGCATAGGGCGTTTAGAGGCAAACTGAGAAGTTTATAAAATAATGAGAGGTATAGATAGAATTAATGGAAGTTGTCTCTTCTCTAGGATGGGAGATTTCAAGACAAGGGGGCACATTTTTAAGGTGAGAGGAGAGAGATTTGAAAAAGACATGAAAGGCAGTTTTTATACATAGAGAGTGGTTCGCATGTGGCGTGAACTTCCTGAGGAAGTGGTGGATACGGGTACATTTACAATGTTTAGAAGACATTTGGATAGATACTTGAATAGGAAAGGTTTGGAGGTATATGGGCGAGGTGCAGGTAGGTGGGACTAGTTTAGTTTGGTATTATGTTAAGCATGGATTGGTTGCACCGAAGGGTCTGTTTCCTTGCTATATGACCTATGACTCTATAAGCCTGTGATATTCTGTGCTACAGTGAGTGGTTGCAGCCAAAACATTGAATATTTTCAAGAAGGAGTTGGGCATAGATATGGGGAGAAAGCAGGAACGGAGTAATGAGTTTGATAATCAGCCGTGATCATATTGATGACAGTGCAGGCAGTCTGTTCTTGCTCCTATTTTCTACGTTTTGGCATGTCTTTAATGTCCAGCAATTTTATTATCCAAGTTAGACCAACTTTTCTGTTAACTCACCAGTGGACTGCCCGACTTCAGTTTAATAAAAGTGACTCAACCTTCTCGATTCAGAGCTCATTAAATGTTTTCTTCACATTATTTCAATAATGTTTACATCACAAGTTGATGGGAATTTTGAACTAAAGTTGATTGACATTCTGAGCAGACTGCTCACTCACTGTTGGAATAATATGGTACATTTGGGGTCCTAGGAAATCCATGCCTGCAACGGAAAACAAACTGTTTGGACAATTCCAGAAAATCCGGGATGGTTAATCATCCTAGTGTCACTATAGGTCTTTACTATATAGGTAGCTTCTAATGTAATTCTTGACCAAAACATTAAATGGTATGAGACTTTAACTTTTTTAAAAGGCCCATTGTATTCTGTTTAAATGTATCTGTTAACATTTGAAACAAATATATATTGATTTGTTTGTTTGTCCCACAGATCATGATATGGCTATTAACAAATATAGTAGACTATCCAAGCGGAAGGAAAATGATAAGGTTTGAGCACTAACTTTGATTTTCAGTTCCTTAAAGAAAGAAAGAATGCTTTTCTTTGCTACATTATTTGTAGCAGGCACTTTCCATTTTCTTTGGATAATGACTAGGAAAACATAGTTGTGATGCATGACCATACTGACAGTAACGTATTCGAAATAGCACAGTTAATAGAATTCAATTTGCATTAATGCTTTAAAAGTTTGAAAATCAAATGAGTTTTTAAAAATCTTCTTTCCAAACAGATGAAGCTAGAGGCAACTGAAGATCTGTACACATCTAGAAAGAAGCAGCACCAGACCATGATGCACTATTTTTGTGCACTGAACACATTACAGTACAAGAAAAAGATTGCACTGCTAGAACCTCTCCTGGGATATATGCAAGCGCAGGTCTGTTGGTGCAACACGTTGTTTTAATTTTAGGATATTCTCAATTATTTTCATAATTATTCTACTTAAGTTGCAAACTTTCTAAGTAAAATAGCATGGTTTCCCTTAATGCAGTTAAGGAGAAAATAAGCTTCAGTCGTCACAGCAGCACTATGACTGTAAAGGTTGATGGAAGGGTTTCAAGAAGGTGACTCACCATCACTACTTCATAGACCATTCGGAAGGGGCAACAAATGCTAGACCTCTTAGCAATATCCATATCCCATAAAAATAATGAAAAGTAATATGTGTTTTTTTGTAACATATTATGACCATTGAGTGCATCTAGGTTAGGTATAAGATAAGACAGAAATTTAAGCTCCCTTACAGTACTGACAGTAATCCTTAGTTGCTGACTCAAGATCACCCATTGCTGAGCAAAATTACAAATTTTACCGTAATATGGCTAGTTGTAAGCCTATGTCAAACTTCCCAAAGTCCTCCTTGCTGACATCTGAGTACTGGTGCCAAAATTGGGAGAGCTGTCTCACCGACTAGTCAAGCAACAGACTGTCACTTACATACTATATCCCTGCCAACACCACTTCCATCCTTGGTATGTTCTGCTCCAGTAGCAGAAAAGACTCGGCAGAGGTGCTGGCATAGTGGCATAGAATCGAGGGGAGTTGCCCTGAGCATCATAGAGTTTTCAACCCCATGCAGCCTCATGGCATCAGGTCAAATAAAGATGTGTAAACCTCCCAGTGATTAAAAAATAGCTGTTCGTACTCCATCATGTTGAACAACACTTGGAAGAAGCACTGAGAGTGGCAATTTGGACTTCAGTGTCCATTACCCAAAGTGATGGAGGTGGACAAGTCCAAAAGGATATAGTTACTAGACTGGGCTTGCAGCAGTTGGCAAAGGAACCCACAAGGGGAACACATACTAGACCTCATCTTCAACAATCTGTCTGCTGCAGACAAATCTTGCCATGACGGGAACAGTTGAAGTGGCACTGCACAGTGTTTGTGGAGACTAAATCCTGTCTTTGCTTTGAGGATACTCTCATATCCTCTATTGAATTGTCTCATACTAAGAACATACTAAATGGGATAGTCTTTGAACGGATATGGCCACTTAAGACTGGGCATCCATGAAACACTGTAAGCTATCATCAGGAATGGAATTGTACTCTGACACAATCTGCAACCTCATAGCCTGGCATATTCCCCGCTCTGTAATATTTCCTTTGAGTTTGAGGATCAACCTTCGTGAAATGAGAAATTCAGATATGGGAGCAGCACAAGGCATAACTAGAAATGAGTTATCATCTTGGTGAAGTTACAACCCAGGATTACTTGCATAACAAACAACATAAGCAGCAAGGAATAGATGAGCTCAGCATTCCACAACCAAGAGACCAGATCTAAGTTCTGCAGGCCTGCCATGCCCAGTCATGAATGACAGTGGAGAATTAAAACAACCCACATCTTCAATGAAAGGGGTTGGGGAGCCGAGTGCATCAGTGTAATAAATGAGGCAACCATCTTCAGTCAGAAGTCCTGAGTGGATGATCCATTTCAGCATCTCCCTGAGGTCCCCAATCAATTGGATTTACTCCATATGATATCAAGAAGTGGCTGAAAGAACTGGATAATGCAAAGGCTATGGTTCCTGACAACAATCCAGCAATTGTACAGAGACTTGTGCTCCACAATTTACTGTGTCTTTAGCCAATCAGTTCCAATGTAGCCACAGCACTGGCATCTACCTGACAAGTGGAAAATTATCCAGGTATGTCCTGTATACAAAAGGCAAGACAAATCCAACCCAGTCAATTACTACTCCACGGCGTATGCTTGAGTATCAGGAAAATGATGGAAGGGGTTTGTCAGCAGTGTTGTGAAAGCAGCACTTGCTTAGCAATAACCTGCTTGTTGACACCAAGGGAAGGTGTCGGCCTAGTGGTATTATCACTGGACTGTTAATCCAAAGACCCAGGTAACATTCTGGGGACCCAGGTTCGAATCCCACCATGGCAGATGGTGGAATTTAAATTTAATAAAATATCTGGAATTAAGAATCGAATGATGACTGTGAATCCATTGTCAATTGTTAGAAAAACCTATCTGGTTCACTAATGCCCTTTAGGGAAGGAAACTGCCATCCTTACTTTGTCTGGCCTACATGTGACTCCAGACCCAGAACAATGTGGTTGACTATGAACTGCCCTCTGGGCAATTAGGGATGGGCAATAAATGCTGCCTAGCCAGCGACGCCCTCATCCTGTGAATGAATAAAAACACTCTGGGTTCCACCAGGCTCAATCAGCTCCTGACCTCATTACAGACTTGGTTCAAACATGGACAAAAGAGTTGAATTCTAGAGCTGAAGTGAGAGTGACAGCACTTGACAACAAGGTTACATTTGACCAAGTGTGGCATCAAGGAGGCCGAGCAAAACTCAAGTCAGTGGAAATTGGGGAGCAAATTTTACGTTAGCTGGACTAGGGGGTGCAATGCCTTGTAGTATTATCACTAGACTATTAATCCAGCAACTCAGCTAATATTCTGGGGACCTTGATTCAAATCTCATCAAGGCAGATGATGGAAATTGAATTCAGTAAAAGAATCTGGAATTAAGGGTCTAATAATGACCATTGTCGATTGTCGGAAAAAACCCATCTGGCTCAGTAATGTCCTTTAGGGAAGGAAATCTGGGCAACCAGAGATGGGCAATAAATACTGGCCTAGCCAGTGATGTCCAAATCCTGTGAGTGAATGAGAAAAGATCTCATCACAAATGAAATAGTCATTGGTTAGTCACCTCGGCTTCAGGGCATCTCTGCAAGTGTTTCTCAGAGTAGTATCCAAGGGCCAGTTGTCTTTAGCTGCTTTAATCAATGGTCTTGCCTCCATCAAAAAGGTCAGAAGTACAGATGCACAAGGTTTGCCATTATTCCTGAGTCCTCGGATATTGAATCAGTACATATCCAGATGCATCTAGACCTGGACCATATCCATGCTGAGTTGATTTGTGGCGCAAGTGTTACTTGCAGCTTAAGTGCCAGGCAATGACCATCTCCATCAAGAGACAATCTATTCATCACCCTTTTGATACTCAATGGCTTTACTATCGCTGAATCTTTCACCATCAGCAAGGTTACCATTGACCAGAAATGGATCATCCACTCAGGATTTCTGGCTGAAGATCATTGCTCCATCTATTACGCTGATGTGCTCGGCTCCCCATCCTCCTTCATTGAAGATGTGTGTTTTTTTTATTGTCCACTACCATTAATGACTGGGTGTGGCTGTAGAAGCAGGTCAGCGGCTATGAATCCTGTAGAAACTGTTCACCATCTACAAGACCCAAGTCTGGAGTGCAGTGTAATTGACCCATTTGTCAGGATGAACGCAGCTCCATCGACACTCAAGAAGTTTGACATCATCCAGAACAGAGCAGTATGTTTGATTAGTGCCACAATCCACAAGCATTCACTCCTCCACCATCAATGCTCAGGAGCAGCAGTATGTACCATAGGTGCACTACAGAAATTCACCAAGATTCATTGGACAGCACTTTTCAAAACCACAATCAAGACCATCCAGAAGAAGGGCAGCAGAACATGGAAACATCACCACCTCAAAGGTTCTCTTAAAGTCACCTACTGTTTTGACTTGGAAGTATATTGCTGTTTCTTCAGTGATGTTGGCTCACAACCCTTGTACTTTATGCCCCCAACCCCTACTCCTCACTCACTAAAAGCATTTTGGGTATACCTAGACCAAATGAACCGGTGCAGTTCAAGAAAGCAGCTTATGACCACTTTCTCAAAGGCAACGGAAGGCGGGTAAAAATGCTGGCCCAGTCAGCCACGGCTGCATCCCATAAATGAATGATAAAATACAAACCTATGTCTGGACTGCTTTCCTTAAGCATACTAATAATTTGTGTATTTCAGATAAACTTCTTCAGAATGGGTTCTGAACACATGGCTCAACAGTTGGAGGAATTTCTGACAAATATTGGTGCCAGTGTGCAGGGGTAAGTTAAAATTACTTTATAAATGTTGTCATTACAAATTATATTCCTCCTTTTAACTCAATCAATAGTAATATTTTCTCTGTCCCTTCCAGCAGATAATAAAAATTCTACTTGAGCTAATAAAAGGGGAATTAAATATAATTCAGCTTTGTATTTGTGTATGAAAATAAGAATGGAAGTATAAAATTTATAGTAAGTGGAGGCAATGGCTTAGTGGTGTTATCGCTGGGTTGCTAATCCAGAGACCCAGGTACAGTGGATGGTAGAATTTGAAAGCAGTAAAAACTTGGAATGAAGATGATACTAATGATTCTAATCATGACCATGAATCCATTGCCAGTTGGGGAAAAGCCCACTAATTTTACCTGGACTAGCCTTCAAGTTACACCAGACAGTTAGGAATGTACAATAAATGCTAGCCTAGCTGGTAATGCCCTCCACCCATGAATGAATTTAAAAAAAAAAAAAAAAAAATTGGCAAAGCTGATTAATACTTCATGTGGTTAAGCACTGAGATCATTGATCTATTCTCGAACTGAGCTTTTTTTTGCCTTGATTCACTGGTCAGTGACCCCTTTGTGGATTTGTTTAGATTGTGATTATCTTGACTGTCAAAAACACTATTAACCTACATGTATTAATAGTCAGTTGATGGCCTTCATACACCAACAAGGCGGAGAGAAAGAACAAAACCCAATTTTCCTTCTACCTGGATCTGAAAAATGTAACTGCATCTGGATGTGCGTAATACTATCTGATTCAGCTAAATTCACATTTGAAACATGGTTGAGCACTTTCGTTCCAGAAAACCTGTAACAATTATCTTGACATGCAGAATTGAATCCTCATCCAAGGCAGAGTTTGATTTGCATACTGCCCTGGATTTTATTTCAGACAGGACTACAATAGATAGTAACATGATATGCATTATTGCATATAATTTTAATGAGTGATATTAGATAGTATTAGATTAAAACATCAATGGTTAAAATATTATTGAAACAATACAATCAATCTATTTGTCCATGTTCTAGTGTCCGTCGGGAAATGGAAACTGAACTGGAAACCATGCATCAGACCATTCAGGATCTGGAAGTAGCCAGCGACTCATTGTATGTACCTGATCCGGATACCAAACTATTCAACATCAATAGAAACCTAACCAGAAAAACTGGCTATATGAATACAAGAAAGTAAGTGTCAGGCATTGCCATGGAAATGTTTTGTTAGATTCTGAAGAATCATCAATTGCAACATGTGAAGCTATTATCTATATACATGATGTTTCTGATTGCAATTTCACAATGCCTTTGTCATGGATAGGAAGCTGATTGAAGCTGACTTCACTTTAAGCCAACAGCAGATAGGTATTTCCAGGAAGCAAATATTTGGTCAAGCAGAAAACAATTTGGAACAACATAAAAACAGCCATTGGCCCATTGATTTTGTGCCAGGGCTTTTTCTTTCTTGATTCTTCCTTGACCCTGCAAGTCAAATTTAATTCATTTTCAACATATATTTTCAAACAACAACCTGTATTCCTAAATAGTTATTTATTTTGTTTTTGTTTGGTTGGATATTCTGAAATGCTTTGCTTTTTGTTAACATAGAACTGTACAGCACAGGGAGAGGCCCTTTGGCTCAACCATGTTGCCATTGTAAACTAATCCGATCTGCCCACACATGGTCCACATCCTTCTATGGGATACATCCCTGCCTGTTTATGTGTCCGTCCAAATGCTTCTTAAATGTTGCTATCGTATTTTCTTCTACCACCTCCCCTGGCAGCATGTTCCAGGCACCTGGCACCCTTTGTACAAAAAAAACTTGCCTCCCATATCTGCTTTAAACTTTTCCCCTCTCACTTTAAACCTATGCCCTGTGCAATATTTCCACACTGGGAAAAAGACTCTGACAATCCACATTATCCATGCTTCTCATAATTTTATATATGTCTATCACATCCTCCTCCCTCCCCCCTCCAGTCCAGTTCAGTCTCTGATGCTCTGGCAAAAGCAATCCATGTTGGTCTAGCCTTTCTCATGGCTAATACACCCCAATCGTGGTAAACCTCTTTCATACATTCTCCAAAGCCTCTAAATCCTTCCTATAGTGTGGTGACCAGAACTACACACAGTGTTCCAAATGTGGCCGAACTAAAGTCGTACACAGCTGCAACGTGACTTGCCAACTTTTATACTCAGTGCCCTGATTGATTAAAGCATGCCAAATGCCACTTTCATGCAAGCCACTTTCAGGGAGCTATGGAGTTGCACCCCAAGATCCTGCTGTATATCAGTTCTCCTCAGGGTCCTGCCATTTACTGTATACTTTCCTCTTGCATTTGACCTCCCAAAATGCATCATCTCTCAGTTGTGCAGATTAAATGCCATCTGCCATTTCTGTCCCCAGCTTTCCAACTGATCTATATCTTAGAACATAGAACAACACCGGCCCTTTGGCCCACGATGTTGTGCCGACCTATTATCTTAATCTAAGATCAAACTACCCTGCATATCCTACATTTTACTATCATCCATGTACCTATCCAAGAATTGCTTAAATGTCCCTAAAGTATCTGACTCCACTACCACTGCCGGCAGAGCATTCCAAACACCCACCACTCTCTGTTTAAAGAACCTACCTCTGACATCTCCCCTATATCTTCCTCCAATCACCTTAAAATTAGGCCCCCTCGTGATAGTCATTTCCGTCCTGGGAAAAAGCCTCTGGCTATCCACTCTATCTATGCCTCTCATCATCTTGTACGCCTCTATCAAGTCACCTCTCATCCTTCTTCGCTCCAATGAGAAAAGCCTGAGCTTCCTCAACCTTTCTTCATAAGACCTGTCCTCCAGTCCAGACAGCATCCTGGTAATTTTCTTCTGCACCCTCTCTAAAGCTTCCACATCCTTCCTATAATGAGGCGATCAGAACTGAACACAGTATTCCAAGTGTGGTCTAATCGGGGTTTTATAGAGCTGCACCATAACCTCGCAGCTCTTAAACTCAATTCCCCTGACAATGAAAGCCAACAAACCATACGCCTTCATAACAACCTGATCAACTTGGGTAGCAACTTGGACGTGGACCCCTAGATCCCTCTGTTCCTCCACACTGCCAAGAATCCTGCCATTAACCGTGTATTCTGCATTCAAATTTGACCTTCCAAAATGAATCACTTCACACTCATCCGGGTTGAATTTCATCTGCCACTTCATTGCCCAGCTTTGCATCCTGTCAATGTCCCGCTGCAACCTACAACAGCCCTGCACACTATCCACAACTCCACCAACCTTCATGTCATCAGCAAACTTACTAGCCCACCCTTCCACTTCCTCATCCAAGTCATTTATAAAGATCACGAAGAGCAGAGGTCCCAGAACAGATCCCTGCAGAACACCACTGGTCACCGAGCTCCAGGCTGAATGCTTTCCATCTACTACCACCCTCGGTCTTCTATTGGACAGCCAATTCTGTATCCGGACAGCAAAATTTCCCTGGATCCCATGCCTCCTTACTTTCTGAATGGGCCAACCATGGGGAACCTTACCACATGCCTTGCTAAAATCCATATACACCACATCCACTGCTCTGCCTTCATCAATGTGTTTTGTCAGATCCTCAAAGAATTCAATAAGGCTTGTGTGGCATGATCTGCCCCTCGCAAAGCCATGCCGACTATTTCTAATCTTGCTGTATCCTTTGACAGTCTTCCTCCCTGTCCACAACTCCTTCAATTTTCGTGTCATCTGCAAGCTTACTAAGCAGATAACCTACATGTTCTTCCAAATCATTTATATGTATATTACCAACAACAGAGGTCCCAGCACTGATCCTTGTGGAATATCACTGGTCACAGATCTCCAGTCAGAAAAACACTCTCCACAACTACCATTTGTCTTCTATGACCAAACTGATTTTGTATCCAATTTAGCGACTGCTTGGAGATCCCATATAACTTAATCTTCTGGACCAGCCTACCATGAGAGACCTTGTCAAATGCTTTAGTAAAGTCCATGTAGACTACATCCACCGCTCTACCATGATTGATCATCTTCATCACTTCCTGCAAAAATTGAAATTTGTGAGAAACAACCTCCCTCTCACAAAGCTATGTTAACTGTTCCTAGTAAGACCATTCTTTCCCAATTGTGAGTAAATCCTGTACTGAAAAATCTTCTCCAATAATTTCCCTGTGACTGATGTAAGGCTCACTGACTGTAGTTTCCTGGATTATCTCTGTTGCCCTTCTTAATCAAAGGAATAACATTGGCTATTCTCCACCCTTCTGATACAAACACTCCTGCCAAGGCCCCAACAATCTCCTCCCTCAGTATCTTGGATTAGATCCTATCAGGCCGTAGGGACTTATCTACCTCAATGTTTTTCAAGACACCCCACAGAATATCCTGCGCCAGTTCAGAGTCATCCTTGACCCTGGCACCAGGGCCGAAACTCCATCCTTGGACTTGGCCACAGAAATGCTTATTCATGCCCCGACTAATCAATGCCCTATCATTACCCTTAGCCTACACTTCGACTCTCCCTGCTGCACAACAGAGCCAATCACTGAACTAGCTGCTGCTGATACTTTCGCCCGAGAGGCCATCCCCACAACTGTATCCCCAGGATTCTGACTTCTATTTGCCTACATTTATTTTCAATTGACCTTGCACAGCATGTAATCTCCTTTAGTCTCCACTTTTGGTGTTTCTGGTTGTATGTTCTGGTATATTTCTAATTGTTCTCACACATCCCTAAATGCTTTCTGAACCATTATGCAGTTTTATCGTTTTCCGTGCATAGTTCTAGAAGACGTTTCTCAATGGTGTTATTCCTGTCTTGCTTGGATAATTACATTCATACATGTTGTAATCCATTCTCTATTTGTTACATTGTGAGGAGAAGAACACATTCTGTGCTTTTGGCACTGCAGAAAGCACTTGATCATGTATAACATAGTAACGTAGAAAGTAGAACTTTGTCCAAAATAATGTATCTTAACTCATCACTCAGAATGTTCTTTAATGCTTGAACGTGATTGTTCATATTTGTTATATCAGCTAATCTTTTTAGTTTGAGTTTTCCAAAGATTGCCAAAAATATAAGCCCATTGAATACTGTGTTAAGGGAGCTTAATCCTATTTCACATTAGAATTTACAGTCTGTAGAGAGCGGAGATCTCATTGAATTCAAACCCGGGTTCCATTGGCAAAGGAGCTGGTATGATTAGAGGCTGTGCCATTTTGAAGATCTTCTGACATTTTTTTCATGAACTAAACGTTATTCACTTGATTGTCAGATTTTCCTCCACATTCTTTTTGAAAACTAACATGCTTTTTCTAGCATTTTTTGAAAATGGTTTTAGATCCTTTATATTATACCAAAGTTTCTTGTTTTGCATTGTTATATCTAATTCCGAGCACTGAGGTGTTTTAGGTAGCAAATGCTTTTAGCATTATTTCACTTGGGGTGGTTTTGTTTTAACTATTAGCCATGGAAATAATTAAAGGCGAAACAACTGTAGCTCATTGAAGTTTTCAGCCCAAGAAATGACCATTGTGAAGTCGATTGCAAACTAATCTATAGCAGTGGCAAAGCAATGTCATGCGAACTGTTAGAAAAATGCAACAGATAGTGTTAAAAGTAAAACTGTCTGTTTTGGATTCTAGTAAAACTAGATTAGTGTCATCCACCTGGGAAAGGTATTACTACTTTACCCAGGGTGGAAACCTGATGCGTCAAGCTCGAGGGGATGTTGCAGGAGGTCTTGTCATGGACTTGGACAACTGCACTGTTATGGCTGTGGATTGTGAGGACCGAAGATACTGCTTTCAAATCACTGCCTTTGATGGGAAAAAGTAAGTATTGTCCACATCTGTGACCAGCGTAATTTATTGCTTCCTTCTCCAAGTTCTTTACCAATATTTTGGAATGCACGTTGTAAACTGATCATTTGGTTGTGGTTCCCCTTAGATTTGTCTGCCATATTCTGTTTTTATATTTGGCAAATTTGTAGCCTTGTACAGTAGGGAGAGACCTTAATCTATGGTACACTTGATATTCCTTCCCCGCACAGCCTTATTCTGTACTCAAAATTGAACCAGAATTGGGTACTTGGCTCAATAATGGTCATAATGGAATGAATGCCATGCCATAAGATTATATGTTTGATATATAGTTCTGTTGCTGTTGGTCCACATCATCTCATGGATAGGCATTTTGGGCTATTAGATCTGTTCTTAATCTGTCTGACTTAATGCTGTAGTGGAGAATTCAATCAGTACGAAGATTTAGACTTTTTCTTGAAAAGGGTTGTGATCAGTTTACTACTATCCATAGACAATCATGCCTGCAGCTGAGTGAGCACAAAAACAAGTTGCTACTTCCTTGTAAAAACCGGAAGAACTGCAGATGCTGTAAATTGTGAACACAAACAGAAGTCGCTGGAAAAGCTCAGCAGGTCTGGAAGCATCTGTAAAGAAAAATCAGAGTTAATGTTTCTGATCCGGTGACCCTTCCTCAGAACTAATGGTAACTAGGAAAATGTTGGTTTATACGCAGAAGAGAGGGACGATTTACAGTATCCACAGTTCTTTCAGTTTTTATTTAGTATTTGACTCACTGCCACATCTCTTCTTGGCATACGCACATTGAAACAGTTCTGCTCCTCTCTCCGACGGGATTTCCTTTTTCAATCTTTCTTCTTGTTCACCACCACTAATTTCACTGTCACTCCTGTTGTTTGACCGGGTATTTGCTAAAACTTGTTTCCAGAGCCATATCATATTCCTCAGTGACTGCCTCCAGCTCAGACTCACCCCACGTGGATTCCAACAGAAGTTTTCTCCCTCATGCTTTGAATTCTCCCAGTGTCACGGATATCTCCATGATGTTCAACGTTCTACAGACAGCTGCCCTCACTGCATCCTGAGATCCACGCTCAGTGCCAGTCGGTGTCACATGCATACTCTCGACCTTTCTCTTCAACAGCATTGTAACATGCTGGCTCAGGGCTGCGCCACTCCGCACTTCCACTTCATCCCATGCTTCTGCCCTCCAGCCCCTCCCCCCAACAAAAATAAGGACAGAGTCCCCCTGGTCCTTACATGCCACCCCACCAACCTCCACATCCAGTTCATCATCCTCCGACACTTCTGCCACCTGCAATCCAACCCCACCTCCAAAGAGAGACATCCATCCCCACCCCTATCTGCCTTTTGTAGGGACTGCTCACTCCGTGACTCCCTCGTCCACTCCACAGTCCACACCAACCCCACCACACCTGGCACGTTTCCCTGCAACCACAGGAAATGCTACACCTGCCTCTACACCTCCCCCCTCACCTCCATCCAAAGACAAACTTTCCATATCCAACAGGAGTTCACCTGTACATCCTCCAACCTGGTCTACTGTATCCATTGTTCCCGATGTGGCCTCCTCTACATCAGTGAGACCAAGCACAGACTTGGTGACCGATTTGCGGAGCATCTGTACTCTGTATGCTATAATCAACAACAACTTCCTGTTGCCAACTATTTTAACTCCCCCCTCCCACTCCCATGGTTGCATGTCCATCCTGGGCCTCCTCCAGTGCCACAATGACACCACATGCAAACTGGAGGAAGAACAACTCATATTCCACCTCAGGAGCCTACAGCCCGATGGCTTGAACATAGAATTCATCAGTTTCAAAATCTCCCACCCCCAGCCTTGTCCCATGTCAACCCCCACCTCTCATCCCTGCCTCCTTGACCTAACACAACTTGTCCATCATCTTTCCTACCTATCTGCCACACCCTTTCCACTGACAAATCCTTACTACCCCTGCCTGCAATCACCAATCACCATTCCACCCTCTATCTATTTCCCAGTGCCTTCCCCCTCCCTAGTCCCAACTCAAAACGTCAACTCTCCTCCTCTGCTGCTGCCTGACCTGCCTGTTCCTCCAACTCCACACTGTATTGACTCTGTCTCCAGCATCTGCAGTTCTAGATATCTCCGTGCAACAATTCAGAGATACCCATGGCCTTCTGAAACCTTCCTCCCCTCTGACTCCATCCTTGTGCCCCCACCCCCAACCCTACCTCCTGTCAGGTGTTCACCATCCCACCTAACTTCTTCATCTCCAATGCTGAGTACAGGACTTTCGGCAAAGGTCTCAGCTTTATTCCTCTGCGTCCCCACCTTAACATGACGTCGAACTCTTCTTCCACCGTCTTCTCCTCTGTGCCCATTTCTTTGGACAAACCCACTTGCCCAGTTTCAACACTCTCCCTCCACTTGTACCCCACCCTCTGACCTTTTACTTTCACTCAATCTATTCATTGAGAATCTATTTCAATGTCGATGTGACATTCATCACCTCACTTGCTCTGCCCCGCCCCATCCTCACCAAATCCAATTTATCTCCCTCCGAACTGACTGCACTCTGTGCACTTAGATCCAACCCTGACTTTGTTATTATGCCTGCCAATAAGGGTGGTGCTGTTGTAGTCTGGGGTACTGACCTCTACATTGCAGAGGCTCAGCACCAACTCTCAACTACCTCCTCCTATCTTCCCCTGGACCATGACCCCACCATAGCACATCAGGCCATTGTTTCAGCTATGGTAACTGACCTCATTTCATCTGGGGATTCCCTCTCCCCCGCCTCCAAGATGATAGCCCTCTCGCAGCTTGCTTCTACCTCCTTCCAAAAATCCACAAACAAGACTGCCCGCTCTGACCCATTGTTTCAGCCCGTATTCTGCCCCACAGAACTAATCCCTTCTTACCTTGACTCAGTCTTTTCTCTCCCCGGTCCAGTCCCTGCCCACGTACATCAGTGATTCCTCTGACACTTTACACCAGTTTCAAAATTTCCAGTTTGCAGGTTGCAGCCGCCGCCTCTTTACCATGGACATTGAATCCCTTTTATATGTCCATCCCCCACCAGGATAGTCTTGGGGTTCTCCACCTCTTCCTGGAGCAAAGGCCTGAACCGTCCCCACCCACCACCAGCCTCCGGCTTGGCTGAGTTCATCCTCACCCTCAACAACTTCTCTTTCAATTCCTTTCGTTTTCTTCAGGTCAGAGGGGTGACAGTGGGTACCGGCATTTACCCCAGTTATGTCTGTCTCTTTGTGGGGTACGTGGAACATTCCTTGTTCCAGTCCTATTCCAGACCTCGCCCATAACTCTTCCCCTGATATATCGATGATATCATTGGTGCTGCTTCCTTCTCTTGTCTGAAATTGGAAAAGTTTATCGTTTTTTTTGCTTCCAGTTTCCACCCTGCCCCCACTTTCTCCCTTCCCTTCCTTGACATCTCTGTTTCCATTTCTGGGAATAGACTGGTCATTAATATCCACTATAAACCCACCGACGCCCACAGTTACCTGGACAATACATTCTCGCACCCTGCTTCCTGAAAAGACTCCATTGCATTCTCTCAGTTCCTCTGTCTCCATCGCATATGTTCAGATGAGGCAAAAGGCTGCCTCTGAAATGTCCACTTTCTTCCACAACCGAGAAGTCCCTGGCACCATTGTCAACAGGGCCCGTCTGACCCATCTCCCGCACTTCCACCATCACCCCCTCTCTTCCCTCCTGCAACAGCAATAGTGTTCCTCTTGTCCTTACCTACCATCCCACCAGCATCCGCACCCAAAGATTCGTCAAATGCCATTTCTGCCACCTCCAGCGAGATGCCACCACCAGACACACATTTCCCTCCCCTCCCTTGTCTGCCTTCCACAGGGACCGTTCCCTCCAGGACACCCTGGTCTATTTTTCCTTCACTCCCAACACTACCCCACTGTCCCATGACACCTTGCTTTGCAACCGCCAAAGGTGTAACACCTGCCCATTTACCTCCTCCCTCCTCACTATCCAAGGGCCCAAACATACCTTCCAGGCGAAGCAGCACGTCACTTGCACTTCCACAATCTAGTCTACTGCATTCGCTGCTCACAATGTGGTCTCCTCTACATTGGGGAAACGAAGTGTAGATTGGGTGACCGCTTCAGACAACATCTATGTTCTGCTCACAAAAAAGACCCTGAGCTTCCAGTTGCCTGCCACTTTAACACACCACCTTGTTTCCTAGCCAACATCTCAGATTCAGGCTTGCTGCAGTGTTCCAGCGAAGCTCACCGCAAGCTGGAAGAACACCTCATTTTCCACTTGGGGACCCTGCAGCCCTTCGGACTCGATATAGAGTTCAATAATTTTAAGGCCTAAACTCTCCCACGTCCCAGCCCCTTACTCCACACACCAGGCCTTGTTATCACATAGTCTGCCAATACATTATCTATTGTTGGTCACTGTAATCCTCATTAACAGCTTTTCACCTCCTAGCCAGATTGTTATCAACTCCAGAGATAGTAGGAACTGCAGATGCT